GTGTGTGTCTGTCTCTGTCTTGTCTGTGTTCTTGATTCTATGAGTGTGACTTCATCAGGGAGAGTATATATATAGCCGACAGCACAGTGTGTTTCTGTGTGTACCTCTTTATGTTTCACCTCTGCTCTGATATATTGGAAATTCTAAAAAGTTTGTTTATCAGCAGGATTTCCACAAAACTCCGAGGTAGAAGGATGTGAGGGATTTCCTTTTCTTACTTCAGCGTGGTTAGAGAGGAGCGGTTACACTCAGACAGCAGTTTCTTATACAGACTGTGAGATGATATATTTCAGCTGTTATTTGTTTTGATGATGATGAGGATGATGAAGGTCATTTGTTTCCTCACAGATCTGGGCTGTATGCTTCAGTACAGAGGAGCTAACAGGTCAGATTCTTCTCTATCTGCTTCATGTCGCCCGTCATCATCATCGTGTCTCGTCTAACCGCCTCTCCCCTCTCAGGGCGGTGTATCGAGTGGCCAGCGTCCAGCCCGTCGTCAGCACCCACAGCTCCGTCCTGACCCGCTCCGCTCCTCCCCTCTCCTCCCTACCACCTCCTCTCCCTCCATCCATTCACCCTCCCCAGCTCTCCCCGCAGCTGTCCTCCCTCCCTCCCGCTCTGCCGCCGCTGCCCAGCCAGCGCCCCATGGCGGGCGGCGGCGATAACTCCCCCCAGCCGAACCCCCAACACAGTCCCTCTCACGCGTTCCCTCAACACTCCCAACACCACCTCCACCCGCAAACCAGCGCCCAGCCTCAGTCCCTCCACCAGCCGGTGTCCCACTCACATTCCCAGTCCCTCCCATACTCGCAGTCCCGTTCCCAGTCTCACGCCCAGCCACCGCTGCAGCCTCAGCCCAACATCCCGGAGCAGAACGGCATCCTGGACTGGCTCCGCAAGCTGCGGCTCCATAAGTACTACCCCGTGTTCAAACAGCTCACCATGGAGGAGGTGGGTCGGCTTCACATTCTAACATCTAACGGTTTGAGTTGAACACACTTACGATGTTTTCCTGTTTCCACTCGTCCCGATTGGTTTTCCTGTGTCACCCTCAGTTTTTAGCGCTGACAGAGGAGGATTTGAACAAGTACGACTTGACTCAGGGAGCGAAGAAGAAACTGAAGACGCAGCTGGAGCTTCAAAAGTCAGTGGAGTGAAACACAAAAGTTCTTATCACAGTTCTTCTCAAACTTTCTTCTGTGAAACCGCTTCAATACCGCAGAGGTTCACGTGTCGCTCTGTTTTAACCGGTGGGACTCGACAACGAGCGATATGAGTCATGATTAGGTTTGGAGTTTTTATTTAATTTTAAAAATGATGTGATTTTCATATCAGCTGAGTTTCCTTAAATCTGTTGAATTTATTGGCGTCTCTTCGGCACCACAATGATTCATTTATTCAATAAAACTTTATTTATCGCTCAGCCCTGCTGGACAGTTGTGTGCACTGTTCTAAAACCTTTGAAAGGTAGTGTCTCTTCATCAATTACAAATATTTTCCAATTATTTTTTGGGAGGTTTATGAGCCAAAAACAAATCAAGAAGCTAACTCATCATTATTTCTGTATTTGAGAGAGTGCAGAAAGTTTCTCCGGCGTCGTACAACTTTTTCTTTGCTCACTGTGTTCAGAGTTTGTCTTCCCTGTATGCAAACTCTGCTGAGAGCGAAACATTAACTGGGTTGGACCAGGAAGTGAAGCGTCATCCTGTTAGACAATAAAGTTTCTCTCTCTCTTTGAAGAACATCTCCCACGACTGGATTTTCACTAAATTCTCTCACATTCTCTGGAGAAAATCATCAGAGCACAAACTCCTAAAAATTACTTCTCACATTTGTCTGCACTTAAAAACACTTGACAATCAAACGGTCAAAGATTCACATTGGTTTTGTCTTTAGTTCGGTGTGGACGCAGTTCTGATCTGAACTTACCGAAGCTTGTTGGTATTGATATCAGCTGCTCTTACAGAGTCGATGTGTGTCCTTATTAACGATTAACAGACGCACTGATCGGCTGCTGATTTCCACATTAAATATGGAGCAGTAACGTTTCGTTCAGTGTCAATGGTTAACCAGCTGTAGGTGGGCTGGAGAGATATCGTGTACTGACCAGAAGATAACCAACTACATGCAAAACACAAAAACACGGACGTGCAAGTGTGAATGTGTCTCCACGCTCTGTCTCTCTTAATTACACACACACACACACACAGTCCTCTTGTTATCTCTGATCTTGTTTCCATTCCCACCATCGACAGGTCTCCAGTGGGGAGGTCTGTGTGTGTGTGTGTGTGTGAGAATGGAAAGTTCCTGCGGTGCTTTTTTTACGGTGGCAGAACTCAACACACTGCAAATTAAGAAAACAGCTTCATCAGTTTGACAACACGTGTGCTGCAAAAAGTCTGAACGCATGCAAATACACAAACGTGCTGCAAAGTGCGGAAATGTTTCCAGGGGACCCACAAAAGTGATGAACCTGGCTTTGGTTCAGTGTGTTGATGAAGTTGTTTTCTTCATTTACACGTGTTTTTTTCTATTTGCATGTGTTTTCTTAACTTGCAGTGTGTTGAGCTCTCCGGGCCACCGTAGGTTTTCCATGCACAGGTTTGCAGATGTTTGCAGAGAAGCAACTGAAGAACAGTGTCTCCCCCTTGTGGTTATTAAAGGACACTTATTTGCGTGTGTGTGTGTGTGTGTGTCCTCAGCAGGGAGATGAAAATGGAGAAGCGTTCGTGCAGTGGCATCGCCAGGGTGACGCCCTCCAGTCACATGGGACCCTCAACACATGCCATCTCCACTGCAGGTACAGAAGCCAGTTTTCGTCTCATATCAAATATCAGACTAAATCTTTTTTGTGTGTGTGTGTGTGTGTGTCCATCTCCTCCGGAGCAGATGTGTCCAGTTGTGTGAGACTCAGCAGCTCCTGGTTGAAGTTTGAATTTGTTTTGAAATGTTTTCCAGGAGAGCTGCGTGTGGAGGTGGACACTGCGTCGCACCATCACCCCGTCTCCACAGACAGCAGCTCGTCCTCGGGTTACTCCAGCTCCTCCTGCTCCCCTCGGACGCCGCACTGCTGTGACTCCTCCTTCGACCGGAGCAGAGACATTCACAGGCGTAAGTTCTGTAACTGGACTGTTGAATTGTCTTCAGCTGTTTTCAGACACGAGCTCTTGAAAATTGGGTCTGGACATCTTCTCAGTGTGCGGCTCCTCTTTGTCATCCTGAGATATTTGTATTCCTCCTGTTTTCCTGCCGCACTCTCACGTGACCTCACTCATTTTCCGGATATTTAAATTGGGAGGCTGGAGGAAGAGTTCTGGAAAATGTCCGAAGCAACTGACTCAGACATCTTTGGAAATTTTCAGGAAATGTCTGGACTTTGGCGCATGTCTAAAAGCAGCTATAGAGTAATAAAGTTATTTAAATTGTTCAAAATCATGAACATTTCTATTTTATATTTTATAAAACTTGTTAAATCTAATCCGTGTTTCAGGAGTGTCGGGTCCAGAAGCAGGAGGAGGAGCTCCAGAGAAGGACCGTTCCTGCCTCTTCCTCCTGAACTCCAGCTGTCCCTCAGGCTCCAGTCGTCCCACGGCCCAGGTCCTTCCCGTCCAGACTGATCCAGCTCCTTCCCTCCCTCCCTCCTGCTCCTCCCACCTCCCCTTCGGCCTCCCACAGTCTCCCTACCACCCACAGGCCAGCTACCCGCAGACCCTTCTCTGCCCGGTCTCAAACACGGCACGTATCCTGACCTCCCCACGCAAGCCCCGACCCCCTCCGCTGTGCACGGAGGACAGGACGAAGCCGCTGGGCTCGGGTCTGCCAGTGGCGGCTGCGGGCTTCAGTCCGGGGCTCGGTGTGGGGGTGAGGCTGGAGAACCTGTTCCCCGGGCTGAACATGGACTCGTCTTCTCTCCAGGCGGGAGGCGCCGTGGGCCTGATGGTAGAAACCAGTTCTGCTCTGACCTCCACCTCCAACAGCCTCCACCACGTCTCCCACCCCCCGCTCCACTTCCACCTGTCATCCTCTTCATCCCCCTCTCTGTCTGGATACTACTCCTATCCTCCTTCTTCCTCTTCTTCCTCTTTCTCTTCTTTCTCCACCTCCTCCTGTCCCTCTACAAAGTCCGGCTCGCAGTCTGGGAGTTTGAGCGGTGGCTTTGTTTCCATGGCAACCAGCAGCGTCCCTGTAGCCGCGGTACCTGGGAACACGTACTACCCTGCCCAGCCGACCACCAGTCCCTCCCCTTCGCCGTCCTCTGCCTCCTCATTGGATCAAAGTTCAGGCCACACCCCTTCCGTGTGCGTTTGCAGCTCCTGCGGTTGTCGGGGTAACTGCGGCGCCTATGGAGCGTTGCCTGGATACGCTGCGGCTGGCTACCTGCAGCCCTTCTCGGCCGGCCCCTCCCTCTTCACCCTGGGTCCTCTGCTCCACCTCAGCCCCCTGTTGGCCTCGTCCGGCGCCACCGGCTCCACGCCCTTCTCCTACCCGATGATGATGCCTCCGCCCCTCTACCGCCACAGCCCTGCGCCACTTGACCAGCAGCAGGGCTTTGGCTTCTACCAGCCCCATGGCATCATGGGAAACGGAGGCCAGAAACGGGCGGTAGGGAGCCTGTCGTGTTATAACTGTGGTGCTAACGGACACAGAGCAGAGGACTGCAAACAGCCGCCCATGGATTCAGTACAGCAAGGTGAGTCTGCAGCGAGCCACCATTCACTGTTTATTCATTTCATCAATAGAAATAAAAATAGATTATTAATTAAGCATTTCAAACAAAAGATGCAACAACAACCAAATTATACAAACTATAATTCTATTTACTTTTTCTGTCTTTTAATAGAATATTTAACAAAAAAACATGTTTTTCTTTGTTTTGTTTTTCTCATTATACATTTTGTTTATTATAATTTAACATATAACTTTTCATTCGGCTCATTATTCATTTCTCTTCTACAGTTTCCAATATGTGATCGCTTTAATTTCAAGGCTCATTTGAGCTAAATTAACTTAATAGTTTATTTTTACCTTCATTGAGGAGCTTATGTTTTCACCACGTCCATTTCTATGTTGGTTTATTTCTTTATTTGTGAGCAGGATTAAAGAAAAACTACATTTTGGGGGATTTTTGGGGAATAATTCATGGATCATGATGATTTCTGAGTGTTTGTAATGTGGTTCAGTTAAATTGAGTTTAACTGTTGATGAGTGTCATCCTTGTTATTTACTGTGTTTATATTTCTGAAGTTTCAGCAGCAGGATTAGAAACTGAAACATCGTCTGATGCAAAGCTTCACCGCAGCCCCTGACTCTCTGTGTCTTGTTTCTCAGGGACTTTTCGGCTGAAGTACACTCCTCGCTCTGACAGTAAGGACTCGGGGGACTAACCAGCAGTTAGGATCTGAACTGTCGTCCTCCTGACACAACTGTACCTCGTGTTCCTGCTGAGGCAGAAAAAAAAAAAAAAGGGACATGCACGTCGACAGCCTGCGTCCGGGAGCAGCGAGGCAGCGGCTGACTGACGGCAGAGACCTCTGTTATCCTTTTTAATTCTTCTGCAGCAGAGAAGAGCCATGAGACCAGGATGGAGCCTTTGTAATGGGATTACTTCTGACCCCCCCCCCCCCCCCCCCCCCCCCCTCAGATCTCCTCAGATACAAAAGTCCCAAGGAGAGGTGGGATTTGTAAACTCTGCCACGCTTCATTTCAGAGACTTAACTCTGACTCATCCACAGAGGAAACAGACAATCAGACATGTTAGCTGTAGTGAGGCTTCACCAGAGAGAGTCTCAGCTTGATCACTGAGCATCTGTGCTTTACAAACCGAAGGCTCGGCTCCCCAGCTTCCTGATGACGTCCTGCGAACACGGTCAACTCATTTCAACTGGTCCCGAATCACAAAACTCAGTTTAATCACTTCATGATCTTATAATGATACTGTGGATATACTGTTTGTCAGAATCTGTGAAGCGTCAGATTTAATCCACCGGTGACAACTCAGCTTCAAAACCTGGATTCATACGTCGTGTGATCGGGTTCGATTCTCTGAGTTATTCACGGACGTCATGTGTCCCAATGCCACGCTGCACACGGTGTGAGTCAGTGCAAGAAGTCAAACAGTAAAATAAGGATTTGTTTTGAAGCCAATGCTGAAATTAGTGATAAGAAATGTTGGTATTTATATGTGAAAAAAAATCTCAGTGATTCCAAAGATGTTGTTATCAAACCCTTATGACAAAGAAATGCAAGTGGGGCTTTTACAGTTACACAAAAACAACCAAACATATAGAAAATCTATTTTTTATGTCAATATATAAACAGAAATCTTTTCTGCACTGTTTACTCTGTACAATAAGGTTTTCTTATCTGCAAACACACACAGATATGTGAAGTATGTGGCCTCAGTGCAGACGTCCGTGTTGAAGCGTGTGGAGACACGGAGGCTGCACCTCCTCGTCCATGTCACTCCTTCAGCTGTGGGTGATCTGCAGCTCCTCCTCGCCACCTCTCCTCTCCTGTCGCGTCTCTAAATGAATCATCTTCAGTCTGCGGTTGCATCTTCAGTTGACACCAGTGTTCCTGTGGCGTTTCGAGGCGGATAAACATTTCAGAAGTGCCAATTTTCTTCCAGTTGAGCTGAGCTGACGTTAACGCTCAGCTTGTTCTCTCTCGCTCCGGACGTGATGGAGCTGCGTCTTCTTGTAGTTGATGTGAACAGTCTTCACGTCAGATTCAAACCAGGAGCGCTCGTTTGAAAAGATCTCACAGTGGGTTGAAGTGTGGGGCTGTGAGTGAGTTGCTGGGCAGGACCCAGAGTTTTATAGACACGAGGACAGCCGGTCCTTCAGATGAAACTAAATCTGTCCCCCTGGAGCCACACGGGACGTTTATTTAAAAGAGTAAATAGTGAACAATCAGTTTGTGTAACTTAGACAATGTGCTTTTGTGTCGTGTCATCGGGTTCTGGCTCAGAATCAACCATTGCGTCTATTTAAATTTCAGCAGTGCTGCATTAGAAGCACGTGTTTGTCAGCAGTCACAAAGACAGAGAGAAGTGCCTTAAACTTTCATATTGTTACTTTTTGTACCAAAGAAAACTTTTTTACAAAGAGCTGCAGCACTTCTCCACCTGTCAGTAAAGCCTGGGGGCGTGGCGCTGCGGCGTGTTGCTTCGTCTTTAGTAAAACTTGCTTTTGAAGTTTACGTTTTTAAAACAGTTTATAAAAAAATCCAGTTTGTTTGTTGGACAGATTTTTTTTTATTTTATTGTTTTGTGTGTTTTACAACTTTATCTGAAGTTTGAGGGAAAAAAACATTTGAATAATAAAATATTTTCTGTTTCTGCCTTTCATCACGTCGTCCATGTTGTTTATTTATTAACTTTAACTTAACCAAGAATTCAAACCATGAAGAATTTAACAATATTCTTCACAATCACATGGAAAATGTCTCTGTTGTGTGTGTGTGTCTGTGTGTGTGTGTGTGTGTGTGTCCATCCACTTAGTTACACATCTAGTCTTGTTTTGTTTAATTAACTTTAATTAATTTTAAATTCGGAATCAATCAACATTTAACTGCTGTAATTGATTGAAAAGTCTTTTCTACGTGACTCTGACCTGCAGGTTTCCAGATGACGCGTGCAGATTGGATACCTGCGTGACTGACGTGACTGTTTTGGGCTGATGTAAGTAAATCATTGAAATGAACAGACAACCAACTTGATAGTTGATTAAAATTGAACTTTTTAATCAAAAAGGAAGATATTGTATAGTAGAATTTATGTTGGAGTCAGTCAGACAAAATAACAATAATATATTAAATATAATATTAAATATGTCACAGTGGGCATTTTCCAGAAAAAGGATAATCTCTGTTTGCAGATCAAAAACGTATTACCTTTATTTTATGTTTGTTGGCAGGACCACACAAAATATACCCAATGTATTTTCATAAGAACTGATGAAAAGAGAGAAGAACCCACTACAGATTGGGGCGGATAAGGGACATTTATTTCCACTTTCTTAATGTGATGTTTTTTGATTTCTCAGAGAATAATTAATTGCTCTCGATGAAATAAATCAGGCATATTCAGTGATATGATATCTGCGTGTAATTAAGTGAAGCTTGATTGAATTTAAGTGTTGGCAGGTTCATTCTAGTATTGATATGATTATATCCAATCTGCAGAGAGAATAAAACAGGAAACGCTCAATTATTCTTTTTTTCCTGTCTTTTATTGTTTACAAAATACCAACATAAATACATAATAGTAGGCTGTGTGATATTGCTGTTTGTGGACGTGTGCGAAACGGAGGGTCGCTCCCACCCTCCGTTACAAACACACGGTGGCTTTCACTTGTCAGGAAGAAAGTCACCTTCACGAAACTGGAGACAGCGAAGACATGAAAACCACATTAAATTAAAAAGAAAACGATAAAATACTGCAATATAAAAGCAGCTAAACATCAGATCTCTTAAAAAAAAAAACAGAAGGAGGAGGAGAAGCACAGAAAACGACTGAAGGAACCAACTATAGACCAACAGGATATTTAAAATGTTTTTTTCTATAGAGTGCAGCCCTTAAAAACCCACTGGGCCGGTGGAAGGATCAGAACAACAACGACAAACCTGCAGGTCAAAGGGCCGGAAAGAAAAAGACCTTCCTCCTTTCATAGGTCACATTTCTGATTACGTGAAGAAACGATAATGTGATGTGAACCCCCTCCCCTCATCAGCATTTACAGAAACACCATCATCCTCCATTCAAACATGCAATCAGACCATGCTCCTTGTAGTGGGTCCAAACTCAACTTGGTTACACTCGCAGCAGAACCCGTTTAATATCCAGAGTTATAGTCATCTGTACACCAAGGCCTTTATTTTCTTTGCAAACTACAATCGTCAGTTTCAAGAGCAAAGCAGTTTCCTATTAAACCTTTTTTTTTTTTTTTTTTTGCGTTACCGTTAAGAACACGCTTCTTCTTCCGGCTACAAGGCAGGGAGGGATAAAAACACCGAAGCAGGACCGTGCAGGGAATGTGACGAGACACACGTCGCAGAAGCTTCGAAGAACGGGGGTTTCTCCCTGGCAAAATAAAAGCCTACAACTCCCAAAACACTTTAACCTCAGACTGCGATAAAAAAGCTTCATTAAAAACAACTTGAATCCACAAAGCGTTCTCTGCTGCCTCGTCTCCGACAACATCCAGCTTTGTTCATTGGCTAACATATGTTTAGACAAGTGGTGGGGCCCCCTGTACTTTATGTAACATCACTACTTTAAAAGCCAAACCTATGCCCCCCCCACTGTACATTAACATAAATATGTGCACACACACACATAACACTGAGGAGAACTGCCGTCAACAGGCAGCACAGGAGTCACCAGAGGAGACGATACAGAAGCAGAGACACAGTAAAAGACTTGCTCGGCCTGAGTCACGGTGGGACTCGAGGGCTGCTCTACTTAAAGGAGACATATTCTGCTCAGACACATACTGCTGCAGCTCCTCTCTTCAGCTTCTGACACCAACACTCGGTTTCAGCTCCTGTCTGTGTAAAGCCGAGCTCACATCACTGTGCGGTTCGCACCACATGCTGCCTCGAAGGGGCTCGGCGACAGATGTGTTATGCAGATGCTGGCCGTTATAGTGACATCACGATCCCCCCCCGGGAAGCATCGCCTGAGCGACCGACGAGATGTTTCAGGAGCTTCGGTGTTTTCTGGCGGAGAGGAGCTTCCTGTCCCTCAACAAACTTTTGTCTGAAACTGAAACAGCATCATATGTCTCCTTTAATTCTCCTGCTCTGTTCAACCCTTGTGGCTTAAACGCTGCTGAGGTTAACAACCAGTTGATCTGCTCGCTGCAGGAAAGATCAGACGCTGTACTTAGATTTAGTCGTTTGTGTTTTAAATCTTACAGTCGAGACTATAAACGTGTGAGTAAGAGACACGGGGGTGGGGCTAAAAACTACAATTGTCCAATTGCCGGCCAGGCGGAAGAAGATGGGAGGCGGTTCACTGGGTGGTCGCGACGGAGCCGAAGGTCTCCTGGGAGGCGTACACCATGTACAGGAAGCCGTCTTGGTCCCGCTCCCGCTCGTACACCTCGGCGATGGCAGCCGACACGGACACCATGCTGTGGCCGTTCACCAGCAGGAAGAAAGCCTGGTTTGAGTTCAGCTGGAGGCGCCTCCTGGTGGGGAAGGAAAGACATGACATAGGTGAGGAGAGGAGAACAACAAGGAAAGGAAAGAATATAAAATAATGGAATGGGTAAAGTGGTGACGACAGGGCAGGAAAGGAATTAAGAGTTAAGAAAAGATTTAAAAAAAAAAATACAGTTCAGTAGGCAACAGAAGTTTAAGAACTAGTAAAAAGAAGAGGGGAGAGAGAATCAAACGGAGGAAAAGGAATTAAGGGAAAGAGGAGGACAGGAAATTAGATGATATCAATATATGAAAGGAAGAGAGAGAGGCTGGGATGAGATGAGAAAAAAGGAGAGGAAAGCATCAACGTCAAAAAGTAAAGAAAGGAAAGAGAAGATAAATAAGAAAGGAAGAGAGACATGAAATGAGGGTGAAAGAGGAGAAGAAACTGGAGAAAGGATGAAAGTAAGAAAACAAGAAGGAAAAAAAAAAAAAAAGGAGACCGGTGGAGGTACGTTGAGTTTCACCTGATGATCTTGATGAGTTCGCTCATGTTGACGTGGTCCGGCACCAGGAACTTGGTCTTGTCCAGGATGGGAAGCTGCTTTTCTCCTTTATACCGCTCGATGATCACCTGCAGGATGCACACCATCAATCCATCAACGCTTCCTGTTCTATTCTCCTTTTTTTATTCTGTTCTCAGAGCTGACAGCTGAGACCCAGTGTCAGAGACGCGGCAGGGAGATGAAGCAGCACACATATCAGATGATGTGGTAAAAATAGAAGAGAGACATCTGCCTCACTGACTCGTCCTTGTGAATCTTAAAGAAACACAATGCAGCTTTTATTCATCTTTAAACCAGCAGCTTGAAAAGTTTACTTCATGTTTGAGTGAGTGTGAACATGGAGAAAGTCTCCTCCTTCAGTCCCTGAGCAGCAGAAAACTTTTAAAATATGAAGAACTCTGAACAGAGTTTTGTGGATTTGTTACAGCGTTTAATTGTTAAAATAACAATAATGACAAAATAAAAAAATAATTTCAGCAGTTGCCCTCGGGTCTGGATGAACGACATCAGACACAGTAAAATGTTGCCTGCTCGCTCTGAGAGCTTTCATCAGTCAGTCCTCTGCTCCTCCTCCCCCCCCCTCCTCCACAGGCTCCTCTGAGGCTGTCTGCACGGAGTAACGTTACAGTGACGCAGCACATCTGCCTCTGGTCTCAACACTTAACCATGACATGGCAGCTTCTATCTCAACCTCAGAAGAGCAAACAGAGAAAACACACACGCAGCTTTTAAGATGAGACGCGGCGTCACATGGGGCGGCAGATGGGAGGCTGCCGCTGTGATACTCGATCTGAAAATGATGAAACCAGCAGGTGAAACTCGAGGTGCGCGGTTTGTTTGTCGTCTGCTGTTGCTAGGAGCCACAGGACGGCGACCGAGCGGCAGACACAGTCACACCCGCTCCTCAAAGGAACGGACAGAAAAGGCTGCTGCTGAGACTATTTACCAAAGATAAACTATTAAATGATAATAGAAAGCCTTTGCATATCAGATGCACCAGAATGACACCTCACATGAAAAGTAGAACCAGGAAACGTGTGGTAACATTTTCCGTTCCCTTCATGTTTTTTTTCTTCTTCCTGCGTTGTGCACATCACGCTGATAGATTTCTGCTTTTAATGTCTGCTCAGAGGTCGTTCTCCTGTCTGAGAGTGTGTGTGTGTGTGTGTGTGTGTGTGTGTGTGTGTGTGTTTCAACTCACAGGGATCTTGTTAGGGTGCTGCTCCCGGATCAGTCGGACATCTTCTACTCTCTGTTCTGCGGGGCACAGAGACAAAGACACGTTAATGGAGATGAAGTGTGAGGGCCTGACGGACAGATTTAGAACGTCAAGAGAATCAGCTGACAAAACACAAAGGAGGTCAAAGTGGTCACAGATGCAAACAGAAAAAAATCAATACGTGTTTCTCTACAGCGAAGAGTAAAAGAACTTTCTCTGTGTTCACAAAAGAGCGTGTAAAGGGAGGAGCTGTTGTAGAATAAAGCTAAGAAACTGTTTTTATAACACTGGAAGCTTCTTCACTGGTGAATGTCATCTCAGTCACAAAGACTCCGGTGAAACAAACCAGGAAGAAATATCTGAAGTACTCGTTTCTGTCCGATGTAAATGAAATCTTTTTTCCATTACATTATACGAGCAGTAAAGGCAGCAGGTTGAACATGTGACCATAACAGCGATTTTTTTTTTTTTTTTTAACCGTTCTTGTTGCCATAATTGTGAGACGTGGGTGCGTCATGTGACTTGGTTTCATGTAAATATGAATAAGCTAATGTGGGGCCTTGTTATCGAGGATCAAAATCCATCTGGTTGACGATAAGCTCATTAAAAACGCTGATCCTCACAACATTTGCTCACAGGTGTGTGTGTTTGCAGGTTCGAATCCCTCGCAAACAAACAGACTCGTTGAACACACACCGCACCTGCATGTCAGAGATGAAACTAACATTTACACACCGGCTCATTACGGAAGATCACACAACGTCGACAAAGTAAATCCACAAACTCCTCGGTCTTTGTATTTTTAAACGTCAGTAGAAAGTTGTTTCCTCTGTGATGACTCTCGGGTCGCATGTTGATGAGATGTTCACTTGTTCATCAGTGACCTCAGACAAACAGGCTCCTCCTCCGTGAGGCTTAACCCCATTCTAAGTGATTTGCGACCGGGAGAAGACACACAACAGATAACACCTTTGTCTCACTGCACTTTGAACCGACAACAACAACAATGTCTCGTGGTGAAAATGGACAAAACCTGTGTCTGTCGGGGAGATTATGTTTTCCTCTGCTGTTTGAGTTTTTTTTAGCAGGATTGTACAAAAACTACTCAACAGATTCAATATCATATTCAATTCTCCGTAGCCGTGGGGCGTGGCTTAACGAAGAGCTCATAAAACTTTGGTACAGCAGATCTAGATCGGGGGGGGGTGGATCAAGGACTTGTTCCACTTTCTTTAACATCGTGAGATAAAAAAGAATAATAATAAATCAGGCATACATAGATTTATGATTGTCTGCCAGTTAGAATCTGGATCTAGTGAGTTTAAGTGTGGCCTCATAGGGGCGTTGGCTTTTTCAGCCACTGTACGACAACAAACAGGAAACAAACCTGTAATGTGTGGCTGGCGCAACATAATGTGGCCTTAGCTGAAAGACTTGATTGAATTGAAGGGACTTTTACTAAAACGAAAAAGATGAGGGCAGATTTTCTCAAGAGCAGATTAAAGCGGAACACTGTTCTCTGTCTGTCACTGGGTCCTGTGTGTTATCCTGAGAACACAGCCTGTGTGCCCACTGTCAGAGGATCCGATTCAATCAACTCATTACACGCTGCTTCCAGGGGACAAATGTTTATCTTCCTGACGGGGCCATTTTCATACTGAACGTGGGGAAATGTAGGACAGAGTTCCGTGATTGCATTACATTCAGGATGAGTTGACTGCAGAGGAACAGAGACGCTCAGTGCATCTTCTCTGTCTCTCATGACCAGGCCAACAAACAACCTTTGAGTCAAAGGGAAGACAGAAAAAATGGGAAGCAAGTTGACCTAAAACCACGTGGGTTTCCCTTCTGTCATCATACAGGAATAAGTTAAGAGGACCTGACTCAACTGGAAGATTCTGTGTGATTTCCTAAATGATCCGATGACCTGCAAATATGTGACTTTAACAGTTTCACAGGCGGAACTCAGGTTCAAATCAGGCGATTCACACAGGAGACTGTCACCAACACCGTGAAACACATGAAACCAGATAATCACGATTAAACGAGGCAAAGACACAGAGGGCAGATCAAAACTAGAGATGAAAATCAGATGGTGAGGAATGTGAGCCTTTCACAGATATTTCAGTTTGCAGGTTTTATTTTACAGAATAAACTGGGCGGAGAAGATGTGCATCGTTTGAAACAGCTTTTGTCTTATTTATCTGGATTCTGTGTATATTCTTAATTGTATTTCTCACTACTTCCTTGTGCTGCCGTGTCAATTTTTACGTTCCTCTACGCTACCTCTTATCTTATCTTTACATTTTAGATAAAAATATATTTATTTTCAATTTACATATATTTATCTAATTGGTGTGTGTTTTCTTTTTATTTGTAGTTATTTGTACTAAAGTTGATATCAAAATGTAGGTACCAGAGATGTGATCTTAATTGACGCTCTATAATGTGGTTCTATTTGTTTTTTGTTGTTTTATTCATAATGAACTATTATTATAATATATTACTCACAAATATCAGTAGCCGCCCCTCATGATGACATGAAAAGTGATGAGGATAGTTTCCAAACTTTGTGTTTTTCTGTGAAATATGTGAGTTCACTCCAGTAAAAACTTTTTTTTAAAGACATGTTCAGGTCAGTGACGCACGTGACTCAGTGTTTCCCAGCTGCACGTGCACAGCTCGTGTGAGTGTGGACCAATAACGTGACGAGGCGGAAGTGGGAGTTGTGTTAGTCATACTGGGAAATGTATTTCCAGAGCTGGAGACAGAGGAACGTGTTCTCATCTGTGTTCGAGGTGCATGACACAAAACACCCGAAGACCAACTTATGAACAGAGAGAGAGAGAAACAAGGACTGTGGTGTGAAAAACCCTGTTTGTTTCTGAAGAGGGCACCGAAGTCGTGATGTTTCCTGAAACACTTGTGCAGAAACAAAAGCGAAACAGATCGAGCCCTGAGGCCTGAACACTTTGAAAAACACGAGGAAACAAAGGACCGAAGTCTCCACCTGCACTTTTAACTGTGCTCCCGTTTCTAAACTCCAACACAAGCTGTCCCATCCCCCAATCCTGCAGCTCCTCTCCTCCCTGCGTTTCAACACCACTTTGTTTTTCTGATGCAAATAAACACTCGCTCACCCAGAGAGAGAGGGAGGGAGGGAGGGAGAGGGGGGAGGCCTGCAGCAAACACACACACACACA